AATGCTTATTTGTGCCTTGTCATTTTTCTCTTAATCAACTTTGCCAGTAATTTGTTCAAAATCCCACTTTGGATTCTGTTAATTGTATTTATTTTCTATTTCATTGTTTTATGACCTAATTTTTATTATCTCCTTCCTTCTTTCTTGATTTTATCTCTTTTAATTAGCCACTTAGTTCATTTATTCCAGTCTTTCTTCACTTCTAATTTATGCATTTAAGACTGAACTCTACCTCCAAGTACTGTTTTATCTGTATCTCACCAGTTTTGATGTGAAATGTTTTTATTGTAATTCAGTTCTAAGTATTTTTAAATCTCTATTAAGATATCTTTCATTGACCCATAAGTTACTTAGAGTATTTTTGACATTCCACATTTAAGAGGATTTTCTGTATATATTTTTATATAATTCAATTTTAACTTAATTGCATTGTAGTCAGAGAATGTGGTCTGTATGACACCATTTCTTTGAGGTTTTTGAGACTTGCTTTATGGCATAGCACTTTGATCATTTTTATAAATGGCCCGTGTGTACTTAAGAAGAATGTTTATTCTTTAATTGTATTTAGAGTTCTCTATGTGATGATTGGCTTCGAGTTGTTAATTTTTTTGTTCAAATCTTCTATATCTCAACTAATGTTTTGTCTGTTTGACCTATCAGTGATTGTTGAAATATCTCGTTTTCATAGTAGAATTTTTCAATTTCTACCTACAGATCTCTCCATCTTGGCTTTACGTATTTGAAGCTGTTTTATTAGGTACATAGAAGTGCCTGCTAAGCATTTCTATCCTGAATAAAACTTTCTACCTGAAACCTACTTTATCTAATATTATTTTAGTTACTCCAGCTTTATTTTAGTTTTTGGTAGCATGTCTTCTTTCACCCTTTTATATCCAACTGCTCCGTGCTTGTATGCTTTAGTCTGTCTCTTCCAAACATTTCCAAAGCTGAGTTTTTCATTTTTTTTAATACACTCTGATGTTCACTCTCTTTTAATGGGCAAAGTCTGTCCATTAATATTTATTGTGAAGATTTCTATAATCTTGCTTGATTGTTTATATTTATTTCATATTTTAATTGATCTCCTTGTTTACTTTTTGTTTCATTTTTTCCCCGCTGGTAGTTTAAATTTTCAGCACTCTATTCCTATTTTTAGGTGGTTACCTTGCAGTTTTATCATGTGTATTTAACTTTACATATACTGAAGCGAAACAGTGTTTTAATTCCACTCCCAAAGAATACAGACGTTGAAACGCTAAATTTGGTCACACTCCTGACTTATATATTATTCTGTCCCAGTTCTTTCCTGTTTTAAATCTACAAATTTCAAATTACTATTAAAATATATGACCATTTTTATTTAGATTTACATAAATGTTTATGACTTCATTTGTTCACCATTCCTTCTCACATCTCAGACCATCCTTTGGGGAACATTTTCCTTTTTCCAAAAGTACATCCTCACAAGTTCCTTTAGTGCTAGTCTCTTGTTGATAAACACTCTCAGGTGGTGTTTATCTGTAAATATTTTATTTCGGCCTCAAAATTGAACATTGCATTTGGCGAGAGTGCAATTTCAGGTTGATGGTAACCATTCTGTTGTCTTTTGGCATCTGTTGTTTGATACTGAGAAGTCTAATGTCATTACAATTGTTCTCGCTTTATAGGTGATCTCTCCTTTCTCTCTGTATGTTTTAGAGCTTTGTCTTTAATGTTCTGTTGTTTCACTACCTTCCAGCATGGATTTCTTTTTATATATCCTGTTTGGAATACATTATACTTCTTAGATCGTGTAATCCTGTTTTCATCAGTTCAAGAAAATTTGCAACCATTATTTCTTCAAATATTATCTCTTCTCCAGTCTCTCTCTTCTTTCCTTCTGAACTCCAGGTAGATATATGTTAGACATTACCTCCGAATCTCTTAATATCTTTTTCTGTTTTCTCTATTTCACATTTCATGTTCTTCTTATTTTGTTATTTCTCTGACATACCGTGTAGATAATTTATTTGGTTATATATTCCAGTTGACTGAAACTCTCTTCAGCATATGTGAACTCCTGTTCAACTCATTTATTCATTATCTTGTATCAACAGTTAAATTTTTCTTTTCTAGAAGTACTAGACATTTGTTCTTATTTTTATTTTAAGGTCTATCGGTTCATACCTGATAATCTCTTGTTGAATGCTCATCCTTGCAATTGGATCCTTTATTTTCTAATATATATAGCTATTTTATATTCTATATCTGATCATTCCAATATCTATCCTCCTTAAGGATATAAATCTGTTGCTCCTATTTCTGATAACTCGCATAGTAGTTTGCTTTATTGTATGTTTGGTGATCTTTGATTTTGAATTCATTGCTTGCTCTAATCAGTGGAAGTCCTGTGGGCCTAAACTGGTTATGCTTTCCTCCAGAGATTGTTTGTTTATTGTTCTACCAATTGCCATGGAATGCCACTGATCTGAGTCTTGGCTCCCTACGGAATCCTATGCTCAGCATCTCTAACTTTCCGTTAGCCCAACACTCAGAATCCAGCAAGCAGGCATTGCTACTACGGCATTTACCTTTACTGCTATTTCATTTCACCCTTAGTTTGCCACCACTCTGGATCCAGCTCACGGGGTTATTTTGTATGAAGGGGAGGAAGTAGGAAGTATTCTTTGGGATTTGCACTCCTTTTGTGAGACCAATAACACTTCAAGAGATGTGTCCTACAGAAAAAGTTGAGAACCATATAATTTCACTCATGTGGATATAAAACTGAAAGCAACAAACAAACAAGACAAACAGAGACTCATGGACACAGACAACAGTTTAGTGGTTACTAGAGGGAAAGCGGGGAGAGGAGGAGTAGAAAAGGGTAAAAGAGATCAAATACATTGTGACAGAAAGAGATTTGACTTTGAGTGGTGAACACAATGCAATATACAGATGATGTGTTATTGAATTATACTCTTAAAACCTATATAATTTTATTAACCAATGTCGCCCCCCCATAAATTATAAATTTAGTTTTTTTTTTAAAAGAGGTATGTTCTAGGCAAGATATAGTTGTGAGATATTCGTTTTTTTTAAGTTACAATCTCAATGTAATTATTGAGATTTTTAAATTTTTATTTTATTAGTTTCAAGTATACAGTACATTGGTTAGAAATTTATATAGTTTATAAAACAACCCCTCTAATTGCTCTTTCTCTCCTCTGGCTCTCTACCTAACCATTACATTAATGCTAACTGCATTCCCTATGCTATGCTCCCCATCCCTATGACATGTATCAGCTACTAATTTGTACCTCTTTAACCTTCACCCCCATTCTCCCAACTCCCCAAACTCCCCTCCCCTCTGTCCATCTCCAAATTCTCCACTATATTTGTGAGTCTGTTATTGATTATTATTATTTTTTTATTCCTTAGATTTCGCAATAAGTGAAATCATATAGTGTTTGTCTTTCTCTGTCTGACTTAAATATCTTCTAGGTCCATCAAAGTAATATCATTGTATATATGAACCATAGCTTCTTTATCCAGTCGTCTGTTGATGGGCACTTAGGTTGCTTACATATCTTGGCTATTGTAAATTATGCTGCCATGAGCATAGGGGTGCATAGATCTTTACGAATTATTGTTTCAGTTTTCTTTGGATAAATTCCCAGAAGTGCAATTGCTAGGCCAAAAGATATATCCATTTTTAAGTTTTTGAGAAACCTTCAGACCATTTTCCATAGTGGCTGTACCAATTTGCAATCCCACCAACAGTATATAAGAGTTTCCTTTTCTCCACATTCTCACCAACACCTGTTGTTCTTTGATTTATTGATGATAGCCATTCTGACAGGTGTGAGGTGATATCTCATTGTGGTTTTAATTTGCATTTCTCTGATAATTAATGACCTTGAGCGTCTTTTCATATGTCTATTGGCCATCTATATTTCTGTGAGAAATTCTTCGAGTGACCAGTCAGCCATATTAGAAGCAAAAGTCTACAAACTAGGTTTTTATTATGTTAATTTTTAAACATGAGTAGCGAGAACAATGCAGTGAGTTCAAGTAGAGAAGACTGCAGACAGTAAATAGTGCAGTGATCGGCTGTGTACCCATAATCCAACTAGAATTATTGTTAATTCATAGCTACACTGGTTTAATCTGTACTTACCTGACTGCCCACCCCCCTGGATTATTTTGAAACAAATTCCAGGTGTCTTATTTTATTTCTACACATTTTAAAAATGTGCCTTTAAAAGATACTTGTGAGCCTTTTGTAACATCAGGTCAATACGTAAAGATGTACACAATTTATAAATAAGGAGGCAAAATTTTATATAACGTTCTATTTAAACATTGGTTCTCAGTCACTTTTTCCAGTTAAAGTTTTACAAGGTAATGAAATGCCTACCAAATTATTATAAAAAGATTGCAGTATGTCAGATATAAGTTAGTGTTACACAGGTATTATATCACAATTCTTTGAAAATCAACAACCTTTGTATCATATTTGGTAGATAAGTGATAATAGTAACAGGAAATACTTAAATGGTACTTACTATGTGCCAAAAACCTTTTCTGAACCCTTTACATGTATTAAACGCATTTAATCCTCATAACGATCCTATGAGATTGGTACTATTTTTATCTCTATTTTACAGAGGACATAGAGGGTTTCAGTAACTTACCCAAGATCTTAAAGCTAGTAAGTGGTGAAGCTGGGATTTGAAGCCAGACAGCCTGGATCTAGAAGCTGTACTTTTAAACATTATATGCACAGCCTCAGAAAAATAGGCAGATTTCCATAGCCATCTTTCAAAAATATGCCTTCCATAAGTAGGTGTATCTGTTTTGGTGAGTTTACTACTTGAGCCAAACTTATACCTGTTTCTGAAATATTTGCCTTCAATATTTAGCTTAATTTTTAAAAACAACTTACATAGCTACCTTTAGATTTTATTATTATAGAAGTATATATCATTTTGTGTTTATAATTTTGTGTAATTTCTTAGGTACACTTCATGTCGGTGATGAAATTCGAGAAATCAATGGCATCAGTGTGGCTAACCAAACAGTGGAGCAGCTGCAAAAAATGCTTGTGAGTAAATGAGAGTTTCTTTTTCTTTGTCTAAATTTGACTTTCAGTTTGTTAGCTTTTTTTATTGCACATATGAGGGGTGTTCTTTTGTAACCATAGTATCTCCAGTACCATCATTTGTGTGGACTTGAACTTATACAACATTCATAAAAACTGACAACTAGGAAAATGTTTACATACAGCTGAGTTTGGAAACATTTTGCCCACCTTTAGCAGTATTGGGCTTTAACACTCTCCTCTCATCCTTTATCTGCTGTTTCTTATTGAGCAGATGTTTATAGAAAACCTCTCCAGTTGTGCATACCTGTGAACTAGTTTCTCACTGCCTTAACTCTGCTGACATCAACAATGTCAGAAACTTCTTCTGTTTAGCTCACTCCTAGCAGATGTATTGGATTTCTCTACAGCAGAGAGAGAAGGAAAGTCATAGTAGACCAAGCCGTTTCTGTCCATACATATCCCAAAGCTGTGTTCTAATTAGACTTTGGATTAAAACAAAAAAAAAGCAGAATGACAGGCCCTGGCAAGCAGAGGGAAATGTTTTGGACCTCTGGTCCCGAACCTTTCTTCCTACTACAACCTGTAGCAGCTTCCCATGTTATGAATATCTGTGAAGTGTGAAATAAGTACACAGACTCACTATAGTAAAAAAACAAAGTCAAAATGATGACATAAAAAGCAAATTTTATGGAGTATACCATCACAATGTAGCCTGCTAAATATAATTTTTATGTAATTACTTGTTCATGGTCCAGATCAATTTGTATTCACTTTCGAAGAACATGTTGCTTAGAGTTTTTTGTATTCATATCTCTAAAAAGGTATGTTAAACCAGAGGTCCCAACTCCTGGGCTGCAGACCGGTACCGGTCCATGGCCTGTTAGGAGATGGGCCGCGCAGCAGGAGGTGAGTAGCGGGCAGGCAAGCAAAGCTTCATCTGTATTTGCAGTCACTCCCCAGCACTAGCATCACCGCCTCAGCTCCACCCGAGATCATCAGGCATTAGATTCTCACAGGAGCACCGGTCCCTGGTGCCAAAAAGGTTGGGAACCTCTGTTTAAACCACTGCACTAGGCAATCAGCCTTGACTTTGTAGGGCTTCTCCCAGGAACAACTTGACTGTTACTGCGAGCAGTCCTTGACTTATAACTCGGTTTCATTTTAGGTCCAGATGCTGTCAATTGGCTTCCATTAATTGCCCTCATATGTTTTGAGTGGTTTCTCATGTGTTTTTATGTGCAACATTTGTTTGTTAAGAGAGCTCTCTTTTCTTCCTTCAGCGAGAAATGCGGGGGAGTATCACCTTCAAGATCGTGCCAAGTTACCGCACTCAATCATCATCCTGTGAGGTAATAGCTCTAACGAAACACCCCATCTCCTCTGGGTTCTTAAACTAACTGTCTGCTGATGGCTGAATGTTTTGGCTTTCTGAGAAATTGTTTCTGCCTGTGCTGTTGATCACTGCACACCAATTTTACAACAAAGATAACGGAACAGAGTAGGTCCCATCCACCTACTCAGCCCTACTTTCATGGGGCTCTCCTTTCTCCAGGCTGGAATCACAGCAAAATATAGAGAAGCTACAAGTAATGACATAAGACTTAATAAAAAAAAAATAGTAGAGTCTCTGAGGAAAAAATTAAAGATAATAATTACAATAACATTTCCAGGAAGTACATTCACTTTCCCTTGTTAAGAAATTTCATAGATAGTTCTTCTTTCCAAGAATCTGAGAAGCGATCTATTTCTATCAAGATAGAGTCGTTCACACAATTGTAACAGGTCTCTATTTTGATGTTAAGTCTGTAAGGAATTGATAACTGACATTAGGGAAATATAGGTTTTTGCAACCTTTTGCAAAATTGTTTAATTCAAAATGTTATGTGGTTCATAAACAATTAGTTTTCTAGAGTAATACAACCCCAAAGTTTCTTTCTTACAATAAGCTTATCCTATAAAAACTGTAGCTTTTCCAACTTATACTATTTAGTTTTATGTTGGTTATTAAATGATATTCAAAAATTCATTCCTTTTACATTTTGAAATACAAACTGGTATAAATGGTATCCTCCTTCCTTGTTGCATATTCAGCTGTAGCATTATTTTTTGAAGCCTGTTCTTTCATGTACATGAAATACATCAATGCGAAGTACACATTTCCTACAGGTAGTTTTTAAAACTGACAGGTAACTTATTGGAACTCATCTAGAAAATTGAAATTGTACTTAGGAGAAGTTGAGGGAGAAATTATAATGCTTCTTCTAGTCTAAAGTAATGCTGTAAGTTTCACAAGAAAAATTGGAGGCTTCATGTTTTTTTCTAAACCTGTTGAAGATATGTATAAGAATTAGTAGTTTTGTCAAGTATATTTATTTTTAGTGAGCCATGTCAATTGGGGTTTCTGTTTATATTAGGTCTTGAGCTCCTCTTGCTGGATTTTTATGGAACTTCAAGTAATACTATATTTCAAAAGAAAATGTACAACTGTTTCTGCTCCAGGATCGTAGTTTTGAAATTTGTTACCTAGAACGTAAACCTTTCTAGGAAAGAAAGAGTATCACACACACATTTTATGCAAAGCATTTTAATATTCTAAAATCATAGATGGTCCTCATATCATTTCTTATCATTGAAGAAAGTTAGTAAACATGATTGATTTTTTTTTCTTTTTGGCTAACTAACAAGAAGATATTGTTAGTTATTAATAGAACTTAAGGTTCTCTTGTGTTTTTAAGTAGTTGAACTAGTTTGGGGTGGGACTAGTATTACACAAGTAAATTCTATGCTCGAGTAAAAAGAGCCCCTCTCTTACCTTCTTTACCTCTGAATAGAAGGGAAAATGATACTCCCCACCCAGCCCCACCCGACCTGTTTGACCCTCCTGTGCTCTGGCAGAATTCAAGCCTGTGGTTGGATTTTTCCCAGCTAAGGCAATACTTCCCAAAGGAAGTCTCTCTGACCACGTGTATCAGCATCCCCTTGGTCCTTGGTAAAAGAGGGAACCCCTGCATCTAACCTTGACCCTACTGACTGGAGTCTTTGGTTGTGGCACATAGACATCAATCCGCTCACTAACGTTTGATAATGCTCATCTGTGGAATCCCCTTTTTTAAAGGGCTAATGAGTTTCAGAAGTTTTCTTTAAATCTTGTAGAAAAAAAACATGTCTTTTGAGCAGACATGCACATTTCAAGTTTCAAAGAATTTAAAATTTAAAGCACTTACTTTCTTCCTCTCCTTGGTCTTATCATTAAAGTTGATTTGGACAATAAGGGAATGGAGCCTGGAAAGGACTGCATATGTCAAGTAGTGTAGAGAATGCAATTGAGGAGCATGGATCTAGGGCTGTGGCTCTTGGGATCTTTGCTGGAAGTGTAATATTTTTAGAGGTTCAAGATTATATTTTAATCAATTTGCTAAAATGATCTAAATAATAATGGTTTCTTCTCTGGTATATTAGCTATCTTTTACCTTTATTAGTAATATTTGTCCTAGAAAGATTCCAAAGTGATTACAACATGAGAAGTTTTTTAGATTCATTTCACTTCAAATTGGGTTATTCAGTAATTTTGACAATGAGATAGCTAAAAATTACTAAATACTTTTCAAACCCAATTTTTAATAAAAATTAGGCAGTTGGGATCTTCAGTACAGTAATTTTATAGTAATATTTGCCCTTGTATAGTACTTGTTAGTTAGGATTTTAATATCAAGTCACTCTTCTGGGTCTCATTTAAAGAAAGCAAAGATTAGAGAATATTGGAGACAGGAAAGAAATGATTAATGAATGACACAGTCATCACTTACAATATGTGAATCTTTAAACTGCAAAGTATTTTTTCTAAATTGCAAGTGAGTCAGTATGGCACCTTTGCAGCTAAAACCTCAAAGGAAATGGTTGTCAGACTGTGGTTGTAACTGTTGATGTGAATATCTCTGTTTCTGTGCTGGTGTTCTGTGTTAATGAACCTTGTGTCTTATTTCAGAGAGATTCCCCCTCCACTTCCAGACAGTCCCCAGCTAATGGTCATAGCAGCACTAACAATTCTGTTTCGGTAAGAACAATAGCTTCACACGGCAAAGTGTGACAATTTTGTTGGTGCCACCTGCCATGAGTGTTCTAGTTACATGTCTTCAGTGGAAATATTGTCTTCTGCCAATATACTACAGCTACAATGCAATTTACTCCTGGAAAATCTTTTTCAACATTTTCTTCTCAATAAAATCCCTTCTGTTAGTTAAATCTGAAGAAATGTATTTCAAAACTGCTTTGGTCATTCTCAAAATATTCCTGCGTCACCCCAGTAGTATTTATGACTTTGCTCAAACTTATGCAAAGGATGTAAATGGAAATTTGTTGAAATTTCTAAATCATTTTTTTTTTATTTGAGAAAGATAAAGAAATATACAGATTTTGCAGAGTAGGCATTTGGTCTTCTCGGGCTTTGTAGTTGTCTGTTCTAAGTGATATCAGCAACACGTTTTAGTTTCCGCTATCTAAGTTTACGAATTGGTGTGCCCTCTGTTATTGTGGTACGTGCACATATTTTTGTGAATTATAAGCCTTGCCTGGATATGAAAAGCAAAAGGAACTGGCTTCAAACTGCACTTAAGCCATGCTGTTATCACATCTTTAACACAAAGTACTTTATATTTTGATTTGAACTTGCAATTTTACCTTTTTTCAGAACTATCCATTTTGAAATATTTTTAAAAACCTGTTTTTAACTTATTTAAACAAATGGAAGCACTAATAGGTGCAAATATGCAATATTTGGGGGTAACAAAATCTAAGTTGCTGATATTGCTGTTAAAATTATTGAGAGTTCTAATAATGCAGCAGTATCATGTTTTTTCCTATTAATTTGCCTTTTAAAAATGTATCAACTTTTTTTATCAGGTAAAATTTTAAATAATTTAGAGATCATCTCAAATGGAATAATATCAGTAAATGAAATTATGGAAGAAAATTTCCTATGACTTTTATTTTCAACTTCAAAATAGGCTACCGAAGGAACTAATTTATAACAGTTAACATTTAATACTTTTAAGATGGTGAAAATCTATGTAGCCATTGAATTTTTCAAAATCTAAATGGTTGCAGTGGCTAAGTTGAAAAGGGCAACAACTCTTTTTAGTTCGGGTTTTTTGTTTTTTTTTTAATAGGCTGTTTCACTCGCAGTGGCTTTTGTGTTGAAGATGCTGAGTTATTTCTTAAGAACACATTTTCTCTCTGCTTAAACTTACCTGCTTTCTTCAGCTTGCTGCTAAATGGCCTGGGTTTGATTTTTTTTTTTAATTGATAACAATTTATCAGAGAAGGAATAATGTATATTATCTCTTTACAATTTAAATCTAGCTCACTTTTTTAACCATATTGTAACAGAACACACAAATTACCTTGTACTTTTGAAAAGTAAATGAAAATTTTTCTCCTGGGTTGGCTTTATTCTACAGGACTTGCCATCAACTACCCAACCAAAAGGACGACAGGTGAATAGATATTCTCTATAGAAACTTCTCTAACTGAGCTGCTAATAGCCAGTCCTTTATTAACCCTTTCCATCCCATAATGTTTGCATTTTGGACCATAACATTTGAGCATTGAGAGCTTGTACCATTTCATTTTAACACATTAAACATGACTAATTCTCTATAAAGATTTTTCCCTCACATCTTGGTAGCTGTGATGGTTATTGTAATTTCAACCTGATAATTTTGTGTCGATGGTTAAGAATTCAGCCTTTTAGGGCTCTTATGGGCCTTCCTCTGGGGAGGAAAAAATTTTAAAGGTGACAGAATTCTTATAATTCTATGAACAACTAAACTGAACATGCTGATGAACATTTTTAAGCAATAATTTTCTGAAATTTGAAGGCCTTTTCTTAATTTGTATTTGCATGTGTATTTCTAAAAGCCATTTATAATGAAAAATAAGAACATAAATATCCTCGTTTTATACCCTCGTATGCCTCTGTTAGTTCAAACATGGAAAGCTAAGTGCTGGCTAATACTGGCAAGTAACTTACAATTTGCCAGTTCCTCCAAAGTATGGATTTTAGGTACAAATGCAGAGACTTGTAATAGGCTGGATTTCTGAAAAGAAATTTAAACAGAATAATTACACAATAGTTACAAAGCCTTCAGGTTGGTTTTACAGTGACTTAAACATTAATATTCAAATTTAATTTCAAGAGATAGATTTTTATGGCATTTTTTTCTTGAAATGTGATATTAAATAATCAGATTTAGAGTTAAGATTTGCATAACTTAGCACGTGATAGAATTCACCCACAGTTTAGTCTTAAGACTGCATAAGTGATAGTGTTAGATATGTAGCACCTTATTTTAAGACATTTAGAAATCTAGTAATTCATAAAATGCTGCCATAGGATAACCCTTTGTGTGCTAGTCTGTTTCCTTTGATAAGATTTACTAATTACATTTGCATCTCATAAAACTCAGCGCCTTGAACTATGCATATCTTGAAGCTCTGTGCTAATTTCAAGTGTTACGTTGGCAAAGCTAGGATTCAAATTATTTTTTTTCTCTAAAAAGTGTAAAATACAAATATAAAGCCTAAATCCTTTCTTAAAAATAAAACTATTTTTAAATGCTTTTAAAAATAAAACTTTTTAAATGCTTTTGAACATTGTTTGAATTACATTTAAGTTTGTCAGCAGCGTATAGACACACTGTCAGTTGTCATGTAGGCATTTTACAGCAAGATGCTAATACAGTGTTCTTACTAATTTTGTACCATGTGCTGTCTTGAGGTTAAAACCTACCCTGAATACTTGTATATATTTAAAGGCTGCCACATGATCATGACAACTTATCTATAATATCAACTAAATATATGCAGATTTTAAAATGGTAAGCATACATCCCCGTAATTATAGGCCCATTATAGTAAAAGCGGAAATTAAGTCTTTATTTTTAGTAAACAAGTATTTTAAGCATTCCCTTCAAATAAAAACAGCAAAGATTTAAACCTGTACACATCAAATGTAGTACATTATTTCTAGTGGTAGTGGTTTTTTGTGTCGTATTTCCATGCATAATTTTTGCTTTCACCATCTAATGTCCTATTTGTATTGTAAGTGTTGGTGTGTGGTTATTAGCTTAGAGCTAACTGTTTTCTTTCACATCACCATGGCATACTTTCTTACAAACTCCTGTTTTGTAGATCTATGTAAGAGCACAATTTGAATATGATCCAGCCAAGGATGACCTCATCCCCTGCAAGGAAGCTGGCATTCGATTCAGAGTTGGTGACATTATCCAGATTATTAGTAAGGATGATCACAATTGGTGGCAGGGTAAACTGGAAAACTCCAAAAATGGAACTGCAGGTCTCATTCCTTCTCCTGAACTTCAGGAATGGTATGTTTTGTTGTTTTGTTTTGTTTTGTTTTGTTTTGTTTTATAATAAAAAAGAAATCTTGCCCATCTATTTTTCAACTTTATATTATTGTTTTATAGCATAAAACCTGTTTGGTATATTCCTTGCTCTACCAGTCTAACAGAATTCAAATTAGTTGTCGAAGAATTCTAAATCCTCAGCATCTAGTGAGCTCCTACTTATACATTCAGATCTTTGTTTCATGTATCAGGAGAGAAAGGTCGAGAAAGAAGTTGAGTGACGAGCCTCCAGTCTCTGTGACCTTTTGTGGTCCCTTAGCAGAACCCTCAACTCCTATATGCTGTTTCGATCCTTTTAGAATTGGATTTTTTTTAAATGTACTATCTCCTTGCCCCTCCTCAAGCTCTCATCACCTGCATTCCACTCTACCACCAGTGAAAAACTCAAGTACCATGATTCAGTGTCACTCAGGGTATTTCAACATAAAATGTGTTTCACTGTTAGTAGAAAAAGGTAGTCAGAAGCTCTGTTCTTTATGTTGCCAGGTCTTTAAAAATTCAAGTCTGTTAGAAAGCTCGAGCTTTGTTTTTGTTTTTTTTAACACCTACAGCACTTGGTATTCCTAGGTGGTCTCCCATCCAAGTACTAACCAGGCCTGATCCTGCTTAGCTTCCGAGATCAGACAAGATCAAGCATGTTCAGGGTGGCATAGCCATATACTAAAAGTTTGAGCTTTGAAAGCGGGTTAAAGTCAGACAGTTTTTAGACACTAGTTGTAACTGAGAGGAGTCACAGATTACTATATATCTTGGTAAAATCTATTTCTACTATTGTTACAATTTGCTTAGTTGAACTGTTTTTTGAAAAATGTTGATCATTTTACCTTTGTTCATCCTTTAGCAATATATCAGAAATCTAGTGCAAAAGAAATAATTTTATGTCTGAGTTTTGTTTCATGTGACAAAAAATAACCATTAGGCATTGTGCCAGTGCCTCCTAAAATACTTGAACCTAGCTAAAAGGGCATTAAGCCCATAAACATTTGTAACTTCTTTCATTCATTTTTCTTACTCATTAAAAGGATTTCTCAATTTATTGCTTTTGCTTGATTGGCTCTTTCAGCTATCCCACATTTCCCCAAAAATATTCTAAAATTTAGAACATTGGAACTGATAAGAACTTCAGATGCCATCGTTTTACATGAGGAATTGTAGGCCCAGATAGGAAATAGAAGCCTTCCACCTGGCATTGTCTTTCAGTCTGATCTTCAAGAAACAGTTTAAACATTAGCTGGAGGAATCATTTTGACGATGATGATGTTATTATGTTATTACTGATATTTACGCTTTATAAAATGTGTTCTTGAATGTTGCCATATATGATGGATGAGCTTTTACTGAAAATAATTATGTAGATTCCAGACCTCTTCTTCCTAGTCAGATCAAGTGTATAAATCATATTTCACCAATGCCTAGAACTCCCGAGTCCTCTGGAGTAATCTTGAGAAATGGCAGTGGAAAAACCAAATTTGCTTCCTGTTTCCTGTAATGGTAGACTAGGTTATTTGAATCAATCCTCCTGATGAATAAAATGAAAAATGCTGCAGAAAATATGTTTTTGAAAGTTACCTTAAGAACACTGAGTAGCTGAAAAGGTATTGGAGAACTCAGTGACCATTTTTTATATGGAAGCCATTAATCAGAGCAATAAAAATTACAGCACCAAATTGGCCCATTTAACCAGGAGGACATTTCTAGTACTAAAAACTTCTCTGCCAAAGGATTAAGGTTAAGACCCAAGGCCAGTACAAGTACAGGAGGGAGTCTGTTAGGAGACCCTTCCCACATTGTTAAGATTGCAAAAGGCTATAACCACAGGTTAAGAGCAAGCAGATGAGCATGCCCTTCTTGTCCTTCAAGACCAGGGGACTAGAGAAGGCTGCCTTGTGACTGAACAAAGCAAAAGACAAGAGTAAAAGGAGAACAGAGTTCCGCTGAAAAAAAATTGCAGCCACTGGTCCACCTTGAATGGCTATGCACCCAGGTACACATAGCCTAGGACAACCAGGGAAACTCCAGCCATGCACTTGATTTGAGGTCACCCTTTTACTAGTAATTCCAAATATCTGTTAGAAACAAAAAGAAAATCTCTGAAGAAGAACGCTTTTATCTTAGGCCTCATCTTAGAGCTCTTCCTAATTCCCCACATAAACTTTTTCAAGGGCAAGGACCAGCCAGTCAGTCAAAATAACCAAGCACATGAGGAAACAAGTGAGACCTGACAGAGAGAAGCCCAACTGAAATGACAGCAGAAACAAACCCACATGCTCTTCATATATTAGAATTATGAGACGAGGTTTTTAAACAACTGTGCTTATTAGCAGGTTTTTAAAAATTGATAATAAGACTTGAAGAACATTCGGAGAACAGGGAAATTATTAATGGCATAGCAGATTTGAAAAAGAACCAAAAGGCACTTCCAAGAAAAGATGCAGCAATAAAAACTCAGTGGCCACAGACCTATTAAAATGGCTACATTTTTTTTAAATTTCATCAACTGGTAAATGGATAAACAAATGATGTCATATCCATAAAATGGGATGCTATTAAGCAGTTAAAAGGAATGAACTATTGATACACACAACAATAAGGATGAAATTCAAAGTTGTCATGCTGAGTTTCCAGGCAAAGAAGAGAATGTACTATATGATTCCATTTATATGAAATTCCAGAAAATGCAAAACTAATCTATAGTGACAGTGGTTGCCTAGAGGCCCAAGGAGGGAGGGAGAGATTATAGAGGGGCATAAGGAAATTCCTAGGGTGATATATCTCATCGTGGGATATATCAAAACTGATGAAATTGTACACTTTAATATATTCAGTTTGTTGCAAAAAAAAACTGAACTCAATAAAGTTGCAAAAACTGTAGCAAGAGAAAGGGATTCTAACTGGGATGGTGAGGAAGAGGCCCACTGGACAGTATGTGCCTTGAGACCTGAGTAGGACTTTGTGGGTACAGGAAGGCATTTCTGGCTGAGGGGAAGGAGCAGAATCCCTGTGGGAAAACTGAACTGGTCTCTAGAATGTTGGTGGACATGCAATACTAATGAGAAAAATTTGACATAATACTATCAGCTGGACCCAGAAGCTTTGTTCAAATATGTTGCTACCAACTGACATTTTTCACATCCTGTAGATGAGAAATCAATTTGGGGGGACTCAAATGCTACCATATTTATCCTTGTTAAATTTCATCTTGCTTGAGAAGACTCATCATTCTAGTCCTTTGATATGTTTGAGTTGCCAAATCAAGGAAGGGTCCCTTGCCTCAGCAATAAAATGTTAAACCTGTCTAAAATTTCCATCCAGGTTGACCTAAATCCTAACACTATTTCCCTCCACTTGCTGAGCTCAAAGAAATGATATTCAATTCCTGAGTGGCTGGTAAAAATCTGTTTTATTTTTTTAACATTATACCACATATGGCCACTCCACAGATTTTTACTGGAAACTTTTTGATTTTATTTTTTTAAGCTTAAAAACATTTATTATTAGATATTCTGTAGATTATCACATAAGTTTCACAAGATCAGGATTTTGTCTCTTTTAACTTGTCAAAAATTTCTCAGTTCTGTTTATGTTTCCAAAGACCCTGTGCCTCACAGAAGCTGTAGTTATGACTAACAGCACATATTGGTTTGTACTAGAATCCCCAAAGCAAAAGGTGCATCAGCCTCCTCTGTGTGCCACTTACATAATATATGGAGAGTGACCTTGATTCTGTTGCTGAGAATTCAGTGTTTCCCAAAAAATGTCATTATCCTAACCAAAAATAGATAGATAGATAGATAGATAGATAGATAGACAGACAGACAGACAGACAGATAGATAAAGCCTTGAATGAACAAGAGAGAATAAGAGCTGTGGAAGACAGTCTCTTCAAGAAAACAGAAGAGAATACTTTCCAACTAATTTCATGATGCCTACATTCCCTAATTACAAAATTAAATAAAGGCAATTCAAGAAAACTGCAATGACTTATAATACTGTATACTTCAAACTAATGAAATAAAATTTTTTTAAAAAAAGAAAACTACAGACCAGTATCTCTCATGAACATAGATGTAAAAATTCTCATCAAAATATTAGCAAATTGAATCCAGCAACATATAAAAAAAAAAAGATAATACATTTTGACCCAATAGAGTTTATACTGGGACTACATGGCTGGTTCAACATTTGAAAAACACTCAACCCAATCCACCATATTAACAGACTAAGGAAGAAAATCCACCTGGTCATATCAATAGATGCAGAAAAAGCATTTGATAAAATTCAACATTCACTCATGGTTAAAACTCTCACAAACTGAATTGAAGGGAACCTCTTTAATTTGATTGAGAGCATCCACAGCAAACCTACAGCAAACATTATTGGAAAGGAAAAAAATATTGCAGGTGTTATGATTCTGTGTGTAGAAATTCAAAGGAATCTATACATAAACAATTTATGAGAGTTTAACATGATGGCTGATATAAAATCAATATACAAAAATAAATTATATTCCTATTTACCAGCAACAAACAAAACAAAAATTTTAACATACCATACATAACACCACCTGCAAAACCATAATACTGTAAAGTCGTCTTGCAAAAAATATAAAACTTAAAATTGATTGAGGCTCTAGATCTAATTACCTATTTGCAGGAAATACAAAAGATAGAGGGACTTACTGAAGACACCACAGGGATGAAATCAGAAAAATCCAGACTCGGAAACTACAGGACAAACAACCAGTTTCTGCAACAAATAAATTGCAAGAAAAGAAGAGAGGGAGGGAGTAGGAACCTATAGATTTAAAGGAAATTTAAGAATATTTATGGAAAAAATGATACAAACTTAGATTTGTTTCAAAATCATCCGTGGTGGGTAGGTTGTGAATAAAACAAAATAAGCCATGAGTTAATAAATGTTGAAACTGAGTTTTAGGTATTTGAGTTTCATTACAGCTATTC